TTCCTGCTGCTGCCCCATGTCATGTGGAAAAGGAGTAAGAGAAACATTTGCCAAGCTTTCCTTCACATGGGAACAGTAGCTTGTCCATAGATACATGGGGCTTTTTTCATTTTAAAAAGCAAATCACACTGTACAAGTGTGCTCAGCCACCATCTCCTTAATTTTCTTCTAGGAAATGTTTTTCTTTTTATTTGCTGACCTGAGTATAACTCACCTGAAGAGGTGTAGTCATTAATCCTGGTGATGATCACAACTCATCTTCAGGCTGTGGTGACCCTGAATGCTTATGAAAAAGCCACCAGTCAAATATTATATGACATGACTCACCTTGGATCTATCACAGCTGATGGCATGAACAGTACGTGTTCTAGTTCACTAAAGGCAGCAACATCATGAAGATTTTTTACAAGTGCTGAAAAGAGATCAACAGAAGTGTTGTTTGCTATCTGGTCAAAACAGCTGAAGAACAAACACTTTGTATGACCAGTTCACTGCCATCCTTAGGAGCACACTTTAGGATTGTTAATGCTGTTCTCATCATTTATTTGACATAACTTGTAAGTGAAAAATTCGTTTATTCTCTCTGCACAGTGATTAAGGTGATACTTTGTTACTGTAGTTTTCAGTATTCCTTTTTTTGCTAATTATAAGAGGTGCTTGATCAATGCAGTTTATGCCTGAAAAGTCACACTCTCTCGCTGCTTTATGCACTGTGCTTACTAGTTGATCCTTTGAATAGCAGTAATTGCCACAGCTACCTGATATACAGCGAAGACTTTTTTTCCTTCAGACCTTGCTGTGGACACAGGGTAAAGCTACAGCTGAGGATCTGGCTCTTTGATAATCTCTTGTGAACGGGACACAGTAACATACAGTGTGCAATGTAGTAGAGTATATTCCATGAAAATAATATTCTGAGAGTGCATTCACTTTAAAAAACCAACATATTTTGCTTTGAAGATTTAAATAACTGAGACTTTTTAAAAATCATAAAACCCATTCAATATTGTTGCAATACCTTTAATAGTTTTTTTTTTCTGTGTGCTTGACCAGCTTTGAGACAGACCAATTAGATCTGTGCATTTAGTAACAAAAATCAAAGAATGCACTGCGTGATATCTGGAACAATAAACCAAGCTCTTAATTAAAATTTGAAAAAGGGCTATTTAATTGGTTCAATAGTCCATTTCCCTGACAACTTCTTACCTTGAAATTGGGATATGATGTTGAAAGGTGGAGAAAGCTGCCATGTCTGGTTAATTCACTTGTTAATTTAGGAAATTTCAGTTTCCTGCTAATGATCAGAAGGAGGAAGCTTTGACATCAGAAACTTGATAGTTGAGTGTTGTGTATGCTTTGTAAAGAAATGTGGGAATGGTTGTGTGTCCCCCTTGTATCAAAAGAGCGATTACTCAGATACCTTCTCCATGATTCTTGGTGAAACAAATTCAGCCCTCAGGTAAACTACGTGGAAATTGATCCTGGATCTCCAGTTAGGTCATACTTTAAACTTTCTTAAATTGTATAGCTGTGTTAGGTTCTATAACAAGTTATATTCATAATCACTTGTTAATTTATTATAGGAGTAAGTCCTGAAGTCTATATTCACACAAAACTTTCACTGATAAAATGTGTTGCCCAGCTTATTGATAGTACAGCTTGAAAAAGAAAAGGGCTAGATCAGCAGTTTAAGCATTACTCTGAAACATTCAGTCCTATCCACATAGAATTTAACGGCTAGCAGTAAGGAAGACAGGTTAATAATGATTATAAAACCACAAATTTCAGAGATACATTTTCAAAAATAACCCATTGTAAGAAAGAAGGAAATGTCATTTTCAGGTTTTCATGATACAATATAAATATAGAGAGAGGTGGACACTGTTACAAAGTTCTTTACTGATATGCTTTTAAATTCTGGGTTTACCTCAGTAAAATATCTATATAACTGTGTTTAGTAGTTTAACAGGCAGATGAAATTCTGTTCTGCTACCCTCAGGCTGCTCTTCTGTAAAATAAAAAAAAAAAGTAAAAAAGATTTCACAGCTGATTTATTTCCTTGTTATAATCTGCAGTTGCATTTGAGCTCCCATTACTTTTTTTACCCACATATGTGTTTCATTTATCACAGAGAAGTAATCAATTTTTCCTCATCTCCAGGGTGATGAAGAGGCCAGTCTTGGCCTTCCTATTAGTCCTTTCATGGATCGCTCAGCTCCTCAGTTGGCAAACCTTCAGGAATCTTTCATTTCTCATATCGTGGGACCACTATGTAATTCCTATGACTCAGCAGGGCTGATGCCAGGGAAATGGGTGGAAGATAGTGATGAATCAGGAGACACAGATGAGAACGAAGAAGAAGAAACAGGAGAAATGGAAACATGTGAAAACTCTGAATCCAGTATGTGTTTTGCTTCTCCTATTTTTAATAGGGATGATTTCATATAGTAGGTTCCTCTTAACCAAAAGCTGAGTAATCTGATGATAAAAGCACCTGACTGTGTTTAGCTTGAACCTCTCTGAGACTGAGCTAGCAAAGATGTCCCATGTGAAGTTTAACAGGTACCTAGTCATTTTGTGAGTGGAGAGACTCCCAAAGCTTCAGGACCGACACTTTATTGGTGCTCATTTACCTATTTGCATCTTGATTTTTCAGTTGTCTATTGTCAGGTTCTTAATCCTATATCTGGTATTTTTTAACTGTTGGTTATTAAGGATTGTAATTATTTCACCAGTGAAAGATGCGAGAGGGAGAAGATCTTCAGAGAAGAGGTCACTTAATTCCATTTGTTAGTAAAATAATTAGCATAGTATGGTCCAATCCTTTATTGTAGCTTCTAGGCACTGCTACAATATAATTTTTTGCAATCTATAAATAATTGATCAAAAATATTTTTATTGGCAGTGGACAAGGAAGCAGCTTCCTTTACTGATGCTAGCACTGTGCATTGATATGCTAAAACACTCTAGGTTCAGTAACTGATTTAAGTTACAGAGCTCAGAGAATTTCAATGTCACTTGACCCTCTGGACAATTGATAAGTAATGCTTATGAGCTCAAAATCATGTCTGTCCTCCAACTGTAATATCAGATATAGTTGTGTGTGTGTGTGTGTGTGTATGTGTACGTACATGCTTGCACATGTGACTACATACACGTACATATAATACATTAATATGACTGTCAGCACCGTACCTAGACTCCTGGTGGCCCTGGGCAAACTTTTAGCATCGCGCCTCTCCCCCCACCCCTTGCCAGAGATAATGATGATAATAATAATTTTTAAATTGCCATTTTTGGGCCCCCTTTCTGTCTGGGCCCTGGGCGGCACCCAGTTTGCCCATGCCTGTGTCCAGCCCTGCTTACTGTGTCTATTCTCATTTATGTAAATGTCTAGCTCACTTTTGGAATCCTTGTTGGTCTTTCTTCACATCCATAGCAAGCCACTCAAGTTGTCAACGATGTCCTCATGGCTAAGCTGGGGAACTGTGGCCTTGGTCATCTTACAGTCTGATGGCTAGGTAGCTGGCTACGGGGTCAGACCCAAAGAGTACTAGTTGACAGGAGCAAATCAGTGAGATGTAGGGTGACCAGTGGAGTCCCTCCGGGCTCGATATTTGGGCCTGCACTCTTTAACATCTTCTTTAATGGTCTGGAATCAGGAATCAGATGTGAACTGGCAAAGTTTGCAGATGACGCCAAATTATGGGGGAGGGCGGTCACACTGCAGGACAGGCTGGGGATACAGGCCGACTTGGGCACACTCTCCAGGTGGGCTGACCAAAACCTGATGGCCTTCAACGGAGAGAAGTGCAAGGTGCTGCACCTCAGTAGGAAGAACCCTCAGCATACTTACAAGCTGGGCAGTGCTACACTCGCTAGCACCGCAACCGAAAGAGACTTGGGGGTCTTGATTGACCACAAGATGAATATGAGTCAATGCGATGCTGTGGCTGGCAAAGCAAACCAAACTCTGGCGTGCATCTACTGATGCATCTCAATCAAAACCAGGGTTGTCGTCCTCCAACTTTACTCAGCCTTGGTGAGGCTGCAGCTGGAGTACTGTGTCCAGTTTTGGGCCCCCCACTTCAGGAAGGATGTGGAAAAGCTTCAGAGAGTCCAGAGGAGAGCCACTCATATGATCCGAGGCCTGGAGGGCAGGCCGTATGAGGAGAGGCCAAGGGATTTGGTACTCTTCAGTCTGGAAAAGAGAAGGCTCTAGGGGGACTTGGTAGCAGCCTACAATTATATAAGAGGGGTACATCAGGAGCTGGGAGAACAGCTGTTCACCAGAGCTCCCCAAGGAATAACAAGGTCTAATGGACATAAACTCCAGGAAGGCCAATTTAGACAAGACATAAGAAAAAAATTCTTTACGGTGCACGTGTCCAGGGTCTGAAACAGACTCCTCCCAGAGATAGTGCAAGCACCTACTCTGGACTCTTTCAAAAAACATTTGGATATTTTTCTTGCTGGGATCACTTTATCCCAGCTGACTTCCTGCCTATGACGATGAGGTCCCTTCCAGCCCCTAATGTCTATGAAGTTGATTGTGTTGGGAAAGGGGGGAGTTGTTCGTTTGTTTTGCCTTTTTTAAAGAAAAATGGTATTTCTTGTCTTGTTCTATGTTTGTTGTCTTTTTGCTTTCATTGACCACCACATTCTTTGTGCACCAGAAGAAAAGGTCAGCAGGAGCACCAAACTTATACTCATCTACTTTGTTCTTCCAAACTGTGTGGAACTGTCAGCTCCTCCTGAACATTCCCTAATGTCATCTTTATTTTTGATTAACCTTAAGTGTTTTCTATTAATTGTAGGGTTTTTTCCCCACATGGTTAACAAAGATGTTAGAATTGGCCCAAGTACAGGACCATTGGTCACTGTTAACTCTTGACACATTTAAAATGGGCCTTTAATTCTGACTCTTTTTTCAGGCTGAGGTTATGGGCACACAACCAACTTCCAGCAAGGGGAGCTAGGATGTGAAAATGTGGTAAGCTACCTTACATTTACCACAGGACAAAACCAGGCATTTATGAAAAGGCAGTGAACGACTACAAGTTCACACCTTAATTTACCTTGCTGTAACTTGTTCATATGCCCATATCCTTGGTTGCTAGTCTCTTACCACATGGCTAAGTATAGCCTGTTGTAAAGAACTATGTCAAAAACTTTGAAAGTTCAAATAAAGCTTTCCTGCCAGATTTACTTTATCTTATATATTATTAACATGCTTGGAGGACTTTAGTAGATTAGAGGTGTACAGTTTTCCTTCACAGAAGCTCCGCTGTTTTGGCCTGGTATCCAAGTCTGTATTCCGTTTTTAGCTATCCATCAGTTTTACGTGCATTGCAATATTATTTCCTAGTGTATAGGTCTCTGGAGCACACATTAAAAATAAAGAGGGATCCTACATTTGCTACTTCAGGACTGACATTGTGTTGGTTCTCATGTTTAATAGATGGTTTGACTAGGAGATCACATACACTTAAGATCTTGAAGCTGTTTGAAGCATTCACCTCTGGGTCTGGAGACTTGTTTTTTTGAACTAATATACGTTTTATTTTGATCTCCCACATCTTTAATGAAAAGCACAGATGTAGTGTAAATATGTCATCAGCATCCCTTGTCTGGACATGGCCCCGTTTAAGTTTACAAATTCCAGTTAGATCTCAGTTCAGCATAAGCTGAAAAGATTCAGATGTCTCGTGTTATCAGTGTGAGTTAAGCATCTAATTTGCCCACATGCATCAGATCTACAGAGCTCTTTGGAAGATAATGAAAACCTTTTTGTAAATAAAGTATCTTTTTAAAAATAGGAGGAGAAAAGAAAGCTTGCAGAAAGCTTGTAATTACAGTCAGACAATTAACTGGAATGTTTTAGATAAACAGACTCATTAAAGACTAAATACTGTATTGTTTGACCTGAAAACCATTGCTGTAGCATATAAACAAGCAATTTTTTTGTTATGTCTGACTTCCAGAAAGTCCTGCTGTGAATATTAGAGTTAGACTGGTTCAGTCTTTATTGGTTCAAACAAAAATCTCAAGCCACAACAAATTCTTTGTGATCTCTGCTGAGAGCTGCAAGATTTTGAGTCACCTAGGAAACCTAGGATAGAATGTTCTAATATGGTGTGTTGGAGGAATAGAGGTTTCTTATTAGTATTAAAACTGAAGTTCCCTACAGGGAACCAAGAGCTTTCTAATGAAGGATTGAGCTGGATTTGGACTGTGGTACAGTGAAAAGCTCTTTGTTTCCTGTTCAAAAGCTTCAAGGACTAAACATTTTGGATCCAAACATAGACATATTTTAGGCCACCTGCAAAATCTAATCTACGCAAATGTATTTGGCACAAAACATTCTTCTTTGTCACTTTGTTTTCAAAAGAATTATTGGAGAGGTTTATTTTTTTTAAGTGCTACAACTGCCATTGCCACTATTAAGGATTAGGGAAAGCCTTCAGAATTTGTTGCGATAGGAATTTTAACTATCCAAATTCTATTGCCCTCAGCGTATAGGACAGTCTCTACATTAACAGACAGCTACGTTGGGTCAGCAAAATGATCCTGGCACAAGCAACTTTGATGTGGGGTACAATGAAAAGTAAAAAGTACTAGTAGGTTGGTGTTTAGAACCCAGGAGGAACAAAATTCCAAGGCTATGATGTTATTGGCTATATTTCATTATATTAAGCATCCAGATAGTCCATCAGTTTTAGAATTCAAATGTCATAACAACAACTGTACAGTATAGTGCATGTAGATAAAACCTACATCTGGATTTTTCACTCATGTTATTCGTAATCTGTTAAATTCAGCTACATTTTGATAATGGCGTACTGTGTCCTTGGTCTTTGGGAGGGAAGGGACATAAGTAGGGACCTTCCAAATTCATGGCAGGAGTGGAGTGCATGGCAGCTCCTTTAATTTTAATCAGGAAAGCCAAGGTGGCAACCGAATTTAGGTTAGCCACGGGAGTCGAGGGTTATAAGAAGTCCTTCTTTAGGTATGTAGGCAGTAGAAGGAAAACAAATGGATGTGTGGGACCCCTGCTCAACACCTTTGGACAGCTGGTAACCAACATTCAGGAAAAAACTGAACTCTCTCTTAAATGCCCACTTTCCTTCGGTATTTCACCGGACCAAGGGGAAAGACAAGCGAGATAAGACTCATAGGGGGTGTCATTGTGAATGAGGCTCAGAAGTGCCAGGAGAGGGAAGAGGCACTGCAGAGGATGCAGAAGGAGCTGACAGTGTGGATGTCAAGGCCCCCCAGAAGTCAGCACAGTATGGCCTGAGGAGCCGTGTAACAAGGATGGCCGTGTTATCCTAGGGCCCCTCGACCATGCCAATTTATCCCCATGGGCACCCTCTTTTCTCACCCACCACATCTTGATGAAAATATAATATAGGGAGGCTGCCTTCACGTCCGGTTGGACACAGTCCTGATGGACTTCCCTGAACCCCATGGGTCCCCAGACCCCTTGTGGATCCGGTTTCAAAGTAGATGTTTCAGGACACCCCAGCTTATGGGTTATATGTGTGGCTCCAAACCGCACCTTTACCATGCCCCAAGCCTTGCAGATGGTATACACACAACATCCCTCCGAAGCCTTGTTTTTACTCACCTCGGGTTGTCACTGGGCTTTGTGTAGCCCTTTCTGTTTCTGCACCCCTCAGCACTGGGCTCTCCACAGCCCTGTTTCTGCGCCCCTTGTGCCATGCCCTCTCTGGAGCTGGGGTCTGCGCACCCCTCGTTCCATGCCCTCTCTGGCGCCGGGGTGCCCACACTGCCGTGGGCCCCCAATGAGGCCTCCTCCTTCCCCAAATAGCCTCTCCCAAACCACCGGTTATTATGAACAGCAAACAAAACATAAGCCCCTGGGCTATAACATAACACATAAGCTCCCATCATTTTCCACCCCTTTAAAAGAATCAAAGTTTGCCCCAGGCATTCCCAGAAGCTTGACTCACCCTCAGGCCTCTTCCCCTAGCTCCCTCTAGGAGGGCTCCTTCCCACTTGGCTGCTGGCAGCAAACTGCCCTCCCTAGTTCCAGCCTGGGGATTTATAAGGGCCCAGGGCCCTGCCCTTTCCAGTTAGCTGACAGGTGCAGGTGCAGGCTAATTTGCTCTCTAGCCTGTTGCCCTGATAACCTGCACCTGGGCTTCTGGCTATCTCTTCGGGCTCTCCCCAGACAGTTTCTGCTTTTCTAGGAGCAAACACTTCAGTGCCCTGCGACAGAGGGCATGCCAGGAATGGCAGCCTTCCTACTATGGATGCTGAGTGGGTGCAATACCAAGTAGAAAAGCTAGACATTTATAAGTCAGCAGGACCAGATGGACTCCATCCAAGAGTGCTGAAGGCGCTGGCTGAGGTCATTGCGGTACCCCTGGCAGAGCTCTTTCATAATTTGTGACACACAGGGGAAATCCGTGAGGACTGGAAGAGGGGCAACATTGTGCCCATCTTCAAGAAGGGGAAGAGGGAGGACCCAGGCAACTATAGGCCAATCAGCCTGACCTCTATCCCAGGGAAAATCCTGGAAAAGCTCATTAAAGTATCTATGTGCAATACGCTCATGAAAAGTAAGATTCTGAACAACAGCCAACATGGCTTTGTCGCGGGTAGGTCTTGTCTTACCAATCTCAGCTCCTTCTACGACCAGATCTCTCGCCACCTGGCCATGGGAGAAGAGGTAGATGTTATATACCTAAACATGCAGGGAAACCTGAAAAATAAAAGGAGCCTCCACACACCCCACTGCTCACTCCTGATCAGCAGGGAGGTGAAAACTCTGGTTTTAAATATGGTGCTGTTTTTGCTTCCTGACCAGTTTGTCACACACAGCATGGCTGCCAGGGCCCCTCGGCTAATCAGCGCTGAGTGGCAAAAATGGCACTATATTTAAAACTCGGTTTTTTGCCTCCCCACCAATCAGGAGTGAGCAGCAGGGCCCCACCACCAATGAACAGTGACAGGGTGTACAGGGGAACCTGCAAGATTAAAAGAGCTGCCACACACCCCACTCGCACTGTGAATTTGGTAAGTCCCTAGACATAACAAACAAATGCTGCTGTGTTTACCCATGGGGAGATCGTACCTCTTGCTACCATTGCACTACTCTCTTCAGAGCAGACATGAAGCATAAAAATAAGAGGATTTTGTGAAGTAGCAAGTCACATATCCAGGAAGAGTTTGAAGTGGCTGAGTCCGAACCTGGCAACACTTAGCATCAAAAAGGAGTGCTTGAATGTGTTAGGGAAGAGGTTGGCAACATAGAGCCCACAGGCCACATCTGGCCTACAAAGCTACTGGATCCAGTCCATGGAATCTCAGAGCTTTGCCTGTGCCCACACTGGGGCTGAACAGCAAGGAGCGGCACCAGGGCCAGGGATTTGGAAGCTGTGCCAGTGCCACTTCGCCCTACTCCTTTCCCCGTCCCAAGGCTGTGACATGACTATAGTGTCCAGTTGGAGGGGAGCTGCACCAGAGTGGAGATTGTGGCATGAGAGCAGTGAAGGGTGAGGAGGTGAAGTTGTAGTGCTGTGGAAAAAGCTGCCAGCTACTCGTCTCCAGTGTAGTTCCCCTTTGGCCAGAAGCTGTTCTTGCACTGCAGCTGGGGAACGGGGCTGCGAAGAGCAGAGGCAGAGGCACTGGGAAAGCCCCCCTGCCACTGATGGGCTGCTGAAGCCACGCAGCCCATGCCAGACTGGAGTCAGGTTGTCTCAACCCATGTCTTGAGAAAGGTTGCCAGCCCCTACCTTAAGGAAAGTGCTCTCTGCTGTCAGTTGCATACCATTAAGTGCTGGGTGTCTCTGAGCTATATAGCATCCCAGTCAACATATGCTTTGTTGGACACACAGCTGGGACTTAAGATGCGTGGAGATCTGTTTGTTTTCTTTGGAGTTGTAGGCAGGGCTTTTTTAAATAACTTTATTTTCAAGAGTGTGCAAATAGACAATGACGTGCAGTCTATTGTTCTTCCTCACCCCACAATCATCCCCTTGTCGCAAGAAAATCAATTCATCTTATATTTTACAGGAAAGAAAAAATTCAAGCGGAGGAAAATCTACTGCCAGATCACTCAGCACCTGCTTCACAACCATAAAAGGTGGAAGAAAGTAATTGAAGATGAAGAAAGGTTATCAGGGAGAGAAAAGCAAGGTGTAGACCAATCTACACTGCACCAATCCTCAGAACAAATTCAGTCCATCAGGGAAGAAGAGGAGGAGAAAGGGAAACCCAAAGAGGAGGAAGAAGAGAATACAACTATTGAACTGAAACAATGACAATATTTTCAGCAGTATTTTAGACAAAAGGACTTGTGCACAGACTCCTTTTCCAAGCCAGCACAACGTTTAGACACAACACTGTAGAAATATGGGATGATGCATCTACAACTGTTTAATTTGTTTCTGTTTCCTTTTTATGGTGAGGTACATTGTTTAAACTCCTCTGCTCAAGGAAGCTTTCACACTGCAACACCGGCTTTTACAGACATTCTTAAAGGGGTTGGGAGGGAGGGGGATGGAATTATATACATAGCCAGAATTATTGGCTGTGCACTTCAGCAAAATACATTTAATTATATATTATGGTCACTGTGATATTACAGAAGGAAGTTGTCAGCGGAAATGCTGCTTCTAAAGCACATTTGCAGTTAACTGTAAGGTACCTGTTAAGTAGCTTTTGCTCTTACTGCTGAAGGCTAAAAGTTCCAAAGCTTTATCAGAATGCTGATACATCCTGCCAACATATATGTGTGTGGGGGCATGTGTGTGTGTTTGGGTGGATGTAATATATTATAATGTGGTGTGAGTTCTTATTAGACTGGTATAGCACATGGCTCAAGACATGTGAACAAACAGAAGGCCCCAGGTTTAGGAAATTTGTGCCAGTTGGAAAGTGGAGCCCTTTGTAAGGCACTCTGATTTTGCAGTAACTCCTGAAGTCTCCTTTCACATTCTGGCTGC